AAAACTTTGTCCCCTACGCTTCCCTCGCTCTTATTTTATACTTTTTGTTTATGCGGTGCATATGACTCTGATCGTATCACGTGGCACGGAATAGCGGCCTTTTTCTCTCAAATTCAGTAATTTGCTCCAGTGAAACTCTGTTAGAAGTATGTTAATGCCAGCTTAAGCTTACAATCGTCCTTATTCTCATAGAAGATTCTGTTTTTAAAATAAAGTAAAATCTTACCGACTCCAAATCCAAATAATTTGTCCCGAGATGCAATTGAATACAACCTGAATTGCAACTGAATATTATAACATCAACAAGTATAAATATCATTATATAAATAACATTAATTAATTGCTTTAATCTCTTATATCACTATTAACTACCATAATAAATTTTAGCCACAATTTTAAACGAATTTTTATTTAATTTACTAATTTATATGCTAATAAATTATATGCCCAGTATTACCATTGTAAAATTTGGAAACTGCGTAAAATGTTTGTAAACTGCGCATACGCTAAATATACATTTTAAAATTTTAATGTATAACCGAATTTGTTATTTAATATTTCAGAAATTCATTAGAATAAACTGTATCGCCCACTTATTAAAAAATAAACGTTTCAATGCTGACTCGCGTAATAATTACACGATCTCTATTAAATTTCAGATGAATAATAATGGTTAGTGATTCAATAACGGATCGTTGTTACAGCTCATTGGCACACGAGTCATCGTGCTTCCTGCCTATCTGTATTGCGAAAACAGAAAATTCACCTGACGAACACCCCCCCCCCCTTCCCCTCCCCCTCCCAGCATGCCAATGATAAAGAAAGAGGCAGGGGAGACATAAACAGTTGATGCACCAATTATTCCTTACCTCGTCTGTTGCCATTCGCTTCGCTAGTTAATTCGGTTTGGAAACGACGACCTGCTGTCGTCTCGCTTATTTCTTCCCGCGACTCAATCCATTCGGCACCCATGCAGGTCAATCAACTATATCTTCCTATCGGAGTGATATTGGGCTATGTGCACTCCAATCACGTATCGTTGCCCCGTTGCCTATTCAGACACCTCATATCGTGCAAGTTGCGTTCCTGAAGTCCGAGCTCGACATTAGAGCTTAAGAATGCTTAAGGAATACATAAGGACGGAAATTCAAGTTTTATGATTGATCCATTGGTTTCAGCAAATATTGCTAATTCTTATTTGCCTGGTGAAAAGATCCAGAGTGGAGAAGATGCAGAAGAGAGAACTTATAGAAGAGATAATCATATATGTTGCTGTTATCTATTCTTTCCTCTGAATAGTTTGAATTCATTGAAAGGTATCGGGTCGAGTGGAAATCACGGATTCATTGGCTCATTAAACACCTAAATACGTCACTTAATCAGTGACAGGTTATAAAATTGAACACTTGGTCATCTTTAGAATTGCATAGAGTTCTCGAGAAATGAGAATTGATTTACGCATTTTATGTACGTACATTATCATTCTACAGCATATAATATGTATATTTATTGCCATATATTGTTTAAATAATATCGCTGCTTAGTACATGTGGTGGCATCCGCTTTACGATCTATATTGGAGAGATTAACCGCAAAATACTTATTACTAAAGCCCTATAAGTCTTAGAAATATTAAATGTTAGCGCAGATTATAATTGACTTACTTTATTATCTACGGAAATTATGAAAACAATACTCGAAGATTATTGTCCTAGTTTCGAACGAGTGGTAATCAGACTTAATATAATTGAATAAAATGCATGTATAAAATTGAATAAGATCAATTCGAGTTTTTAATTAACAAATCTACATCCCCATCTAAAATAGTTAATAACGTGTTGCATATCATACGAATCAAATTATATTTACTTTATACACATTATATATTACACAATTTCATCATTGTATATGTATCAGATATCATTGTTATTGTTATTGTTATTGCTATCATTTGGAACTCATAGATTAGTCGTAGGAATTATCTCTACGTTCGTGTTAAAGTGTACTGTATGGTTAGGGGATTCGTTATTCCTACTAATATTTGCATGACTTTTATCAACTGATCCATGCACAATTATTTCACCATATAATCATGATAAACTTTGCTCTAGCAGCTGCCACAATAACATTTTTGTTATTACATTCTGCACAAAATCAATTTGTCATGCTTGTAAAATGGTGTTATGGGGTGAAATAACAGTGAATATAATATTTTTCGTTGGAGTCATAGTGAGAATACTCGTGTAATTGTGTGTTCATTGTGTCGTATATTTGCGGAAATGAAAAGTGTGTAATGTTTTCTGATCTTAACTTTTTCAGCTATCGTGATCCTTGATTATGATTGTAAATTGAATCGTCTGTCAATGAAATTGATCGCACAGACTAATATTTGTCAGTCTTCCCGTGTACTTAAGCGGAATTACTATGTTCTTTTCTCTAGGACAATTTCTTTTGCCATAACTCATATAACGAGTAAAGTGTTGTACTTGTTACACTTCTCTCTCTCTCTCTCTCTCTCTATATATATATATATATATATATATATATAT